CCCTACAACTGTATTTGGTTTCCCACAATAACATTTTAATTAAAAAAAAATACTTCACTTTCACAATCAAGAAAGCTTTATATTTAAAAGGGTTGTAACTTAGCAAAGAGTATAAAACAAAAGATTCTCATTCCAAATAAAATAGTACATCTTTGCTATTGATAACTGTTGAAAGGAGGTAACAGACTGAAAGGTACTTTCTGATGTCGTTTGGGGGGTTCTTAAGGGTGTGTATCCAGGAAAGAGGAAAAAGTCTTAACTTTAAGAGTTAATATAGCCTAGCAAACAGACATTTGCCCCACTAAGAAAATGGAACTAATTACACAAAGTGCTGTCAAAAGTGCTTCTAGTTTAGTCTGTATTTGTAATCAAAATTATCAAAGCTTTAAAGCAAGTTCATGGTGGCTCTACTTTGTTTTACAAGGCCCACCAACTTTTCACTCTCTTTGGCACATAACAGGACCACACATTTACAACAGGGGCAGTGTTAGGAATGCAGACTGAAAAGAAACCTATACTAAAGGCATCACCCATAGCCACAGAATTTACCCTTGAGCATTTCCTAGAAAAATCAGGCCTATGTACCCTTAATTAACAGGATTTAAGACTAGGGATTTAATTTTAGATATATGTTCCTATTACAAGAACATAGTTCAACATCTTCAAGATTCTGCATTTAAGTATTGCTTAATCCAAAACCCCATTTCTGGAAAGAGACTCCAAGGAATTATGCTAATGTTCTAGTCCTTGAAGTAAGAAAAAACATCAACACTTCTCATCCAATTACGTAAGTCAGAGTCTAAATTTGCCATATACTGCGGCAGCGTATTCCTCTAACTGCTCTATACCACTGCTTAATATTAAAAGAGCACCGACGTGCTGCCAGGAAGCTACTATAACTGAATTAAAGCAGAATACCAAAGAGGCTGATTTAACAAAATTAAGATGTGTGAGATCATTTTAAATAATGTTTACAACAGTGGGACATTAAAAACATTTTCCTGTGCAGCAACAAGACATCTCTGACTTGTAGCAGGGAGCTCTATTCTGTTTACTGGAGTTCTTCACATGACAAGTGCAAAATATGAAAAGTGTACTGTACAGATGGTT